GGATAAAATACCGATTCTACCTCTGCTGCATGCTACGCAAAACGAACACAAACTAATTAATTTAATAATTTTACAGTCTTTTACCAATTTTAATAAAGAGCGCGAAGGAAAAAAGTAAAACTGTATAATTATCAGTGCGCAAAATGCGTATTTTATTAATAAGGTTTTTTTATTCATTTTCACATTATTCTTGGTTTGATTCTTTGGCGGAAGCAGATCTAATGTGGTAAAACACATGCACAGGGAGTGGAAAAGGGAACAGTCTTACGACACCTTTCGCATATAAGCACAAGCAGCTCTTACAATGAACGACAGGATACCATAGGGAACAAACTGATCCGACATGCATCGACATGCACTGCAGATGGTCAAATATCATGGAACTATGGCATCATGCCTAAATGGCCTCCACGGCAAATAGAAGCAAGGGTTAAGTGCAATGTGCCGTGAAACATGGTCTTATGGGAATTACGTGTCAATTATACGATACGTTTCTCGATCGCGAGAAAAACGACCATCTGACGAATAAGCAGTAACGGATAATCTGAGAATATTTAACGATGTGGTTCGCTCAAACTACCGCAGTGTAGGAAAATGGCCATGTCACCTAGCAAGTGTATATCACTATTTAAATAACAAGCTATCAAACCACAAGAGGCCACAGCCGGTTGCAAGCGCAGCGTATCAGCGAGTTTTCCATTCGGTGAACTACGACAGTGCTAATTTAGATTTGACTAATGTTAGATCTGATTCGCTGAAGGGCATTATCGATGAATACCATTTTTGAGTATAGAAAAGAGGAGCAAAATTTTTCGCCCTTATACCAAAAACAAAAGACAAAAGCACAATTCAGTAACGATTACCATTCACCACGAAATTCATTTACTTTATCAATTATTCCGATAGGGCGATGGAGTAATCACCAAAAATTTTTAAGACCTGGAGATGAGTAAAACGATTAGTAACATGACTAAAATGCCCCACAGTTTAATGTTCCTTTTTCTAAACCTTCTCGACAGTGTTCATGAACAACACTTCAAAGTCATGTCCAAAACGAAGTAACTTACAATTTAGTTCTACGGCTTAATGAG